GAATCAGTTGTTTTTTAATGTAAATATGATGAATGTTTATTAAATTATCTTTGCTTGATGATTAATAACTACAGTCAACACTGTTCTAACATAACATAACTGCTAAAATTTCAAATTCCTTTTAGTAGAAAACATCTCATTTTGTAAATGGAGGGAAAACAGAAGACATTATTATTAGCTTCTACTTTGACTTATAATTTAAATAAATATCACTTTTTCATGATGACAGTTTGGTCCACACTTCATAAAAATCTCACCTATTTAAGGCATTTCTTCTATTACTTCCTGTTTGGTGTACAATTTTGTTTTGCCTGGACCAGACAGGACCACCATACATGTCTTCCTTCCGGGTGAAAAGGATAGAATGTACACAGATTTTATCTTTACCTTTACGTGAAGTCATAGAGAGGTTGTTTTTGATACTCAAGAATAGCAAGATGCACGGAACAAATAAAAATGTGTGAGGAGTGTGAATGGAGGAAAGACTATAGATTCTTTAAATCGAAAGAAATAAAATTTATACATAATCATGTATTATTAATTGTAGAAACTATTATTTATTAGTTAAATAAATTTATTAGACTTTGTATAGGGTGATGTGAGCAATATTCGCTAGATATATTTTTTTATTATTGACAGTGAAATTTTAATGTTGACTATTACATGTGTTATCCTTGGAAAAAGAATGTCCAATGACATCTTAAGTATATCGTGTATTAGCTTAAATTAAACCGTGATTAGGACATTTTAAGAAAATCTAATTAATTAGTTAGTTAAAATCTTTTTAGCAGATCTGTTTTGGTGATATTGGTATGCACATTGCAGTTTAATTGTTTAGTCCTAAATTGAATGTGGAATAGTTTGGTAGAAGCAAGAGTTGATAGATGGACTTTGTCTTGGTAAAAGGATTTCTTGAGATTCTATTAGCATTTTTAATTCTTTTATCTCCAACATGATAATTTGCTTAATTATATTACTTAATCATTTCTTGATATTCCTTTAGTCTAGTTAATCTCATAATATAGGATACCAATGCCGTGTGGATTTTCAAGAAAGCCACCCAAGAAAGTTATTTCAAGCTAAAATTAGTGGTGGGTCAGAATGACAGGATCTTTATTAAAGAATTCAAAATATGAAAAAGTACATACACGAAGAGTTGAAAAAAATTCAATATCTACTATATATACATTAAAAAATAAGTTTAATCAGTTATAAAAAAATATAATTTTTCATCGAAAGTGATTCAGATAAATTCGTAAACCCTTACAAACTCCGCCCTTGGCTGAAACACTCTACTAGTGGATACGGGTCATTTTCTCTTAAATTTCAATAGAAAAAAAAACAAGTATGGGGCTTGAGACTCGTTCAACGTAGGGTAGCTATCACATTAATGGTTTATATTCGAAGGTAGGTCTGGGATAGTTTGCAAATGGATTAGAAGTATCCACAGTTTAAATGTGTGATTGAAAATTTGATGTTGGTAACTAATTTAATATTACATAAAATTTGAAACGTATAAAAAAATTGTAATTTAAGATAGTCAAAGTAATCTCATAATTTTTAATACTCCCTCCGTTTCAAAAAGAATGACCTAGTTTGACTAGAAACGGAGTTTAAGAAAAGAAAGAAAACTTTTTAATCTTATGATTCTAAATTAAAGTAATGTCAAATGTACCAAAATGTCATTTAATCTTGTGTCATTAAACATATCACGTAGAAAGTTAAAGTTAAAGTGTTGCCAAAGAAGGAAAATGTCATTCTTTTTTTAAACGGACCAAAAAGAAAATTGGGTCATTTTTTTGGAGTATAAGTTTTTGTTTAAATTTTTACAATCAAGAACACTTGTTCTTAATTTAAACGGAAGGCAAAATTGTCCATTTCAAATAGCTATTTTTCCTTTATTTTCAAGCAACCATTAGTAAAAAGGGATATTTTTTAGCTAGATTGATACTTTCTAGCTAATTGACTAAAAAAAAAAAAACTAATTGACTAATACTAATGAACATTTTTGAGTCAAAAGATGGTAAAAAAATGACCATATTTAGAATAGTTAAAGTATATTTTGACCTTTTTGTGCAAAAAGAATGTACATTGCTCTTCACATAGCTAAAACTGAAAGAGTAGGCTGTATCTGGTCTCAAAGGAATAGGATTTTAGGCCCATTCATATGGGCCTTGACTAGAATCGCCAGCATCAGCTAGTATGATTGTTATTGAAACCTCAAAGTTCATTAACTATAGTCTGAATTTTTATCTTTTATCACCTTGTAATCTTCTTCCTCATTTATTCTATCCCAAATTTGGATTTGATACTTCACCTTCTTATTTATTGTTCCCCAATTAGGGTTGATTCTATACCATGTAATTTCCTCCCTTATTTTTCCAATAACTACAACTTTAAAAATAGGTAGAAATCATAAATGGTTAGCTAAAAAGGAGACATTGGACAATTTTCTTGGTACTACAATTTAATAGAGAAACTTACAAAGAAAAGGTTTAATTATAGAGCAACTTTCACATATATCAAACACAAAAAACATATTTGTATGATATAACTATAGTTTGCATAATTGCACTCTATAGCAAACATAAATATGTATATTTCGCTATACATATACAAAAGAAAGCAGTTGTATATAATGTGTTTCTATTTCGGTAAACATATACAAAAGATCAATTGTATAATCTGTGTTTGTATAAAGCGAGAAAGAGAGAAAGGCAAAAGAGAACTAGGCAGGAAAATATTTGTATTGTATAATTATAAGTGTATAGGACAAAGATATATGTATTTACATGTGTATATACAATTTTCTCTCGCTTTATACAAACAGAAACGCATAAATACATTTCTGTTTGTATAAGCGAGAGAGGCAAGAGAGAGACTAGCGAGCGAGATCTATGAGAGGGGAGAGAGGGAAACGAAAATATGTATATATTCAATTTTTTCTCGCTTTATACAAACACAAACACATTTTAGACATTTGTGTTTGTATAAAAAGCGAGAGAGGCGAGGGAGAGAACGAGAGTGGTGAGTGAGATTCACCAGGAGAGAGGCGAAATAGCAACAGTTTGTTATGAGATATAATTAAATCAAACTATGTTTATAACATTTAATTTGAATTAATAGTTTGTTATTATATACCATTTTTCTTTAATTATACTATGTGAGATCTGAACGAAATCTTTATTATATCTATCATGCACTCTCTTTGTTTCTGTCTTTCAAAGAAACAATTTTTAAGAGAAAATTAACAAGAACAAAACTCCCTTTAAATTGAAGAACAACAGGTGAATGAATAATTGACATAATTAAAAATAAAAAAATCAAAATGGCAGATACACACTTGATACTTTATGGTTGTGGTAGTTTCAGAATTCAATGGAGCTAACAATCTCAAACAAAAAGGCTCAAAACTTGCTAGATCCAAACTGAACCGCATAATATCAATCCAAAAAAAGCGAAGCTCGTAGCCAGTAGTGACACAAAACCACGCGCCGCCGCCGCCGCCGGGGCAGAAGACTTTTTAGAGGAATGCTCAGCGGGTACGGCTGACATCGGAGGAGACGCAAGAGGATGAACGACCACCGAAACTTTCATGCCGTTAAGGCAACCGCCGGTTCCACAAATGAAGTAATACCTCTGGGTATCGTTCAGCATAATGAAGTCTTTTCCGCTGGTCCAATTCCCTAATGCACCTTCTATTGTACAGTTATCATATCCAGTCTGATTCACTAAAAACACATTGTACTGCGACTTCTGGTACCTAAACGCTGCGATGTTATATATAGCGTTAGAAAAATTAGAGAAATACTATTAACAAAGAGCGAAATATGTACAGTACTTGTAAACTGCTTGCAATGTGATACGTACAGATGTAGTCACCAGCATAGAAGGTTTGGCTGTTGGCCCAAAGGGTATAGTTGATGCCTGGGTTCCATCCTTTGTTAGCTCCGACGATGTGGTCGGTAGCGTTGACGGTAGTGGCGACGGCGGCGAGGAGAAGGAAGAAGAGAACAGAGAGATCCATGTTGAGAGAGATGTTGATAGGCTCTGAGCTGGACGTGATTGGTTGAAGAAGCAGAGACAGCTGAGGAAGTCCCTACTTTATGACTGTACTTGGCCCAACCCCACTATTTTTTATGGATCCAAAGCAAATAGATGACCGTTATCTATGCATTCCCTATTCCCGCAAATGGGGTTTGGTGAGGATAGTGCGTAGAGAGAATGTTTTCAATAGATCTTTGGCTCGAGGAAGTAACATGAGAGAAGAAATCAAGACAAAATACTAAAGTATATCAAAAAAGGAACTCTCTGTTATTTTTATGGGAATAAAATAATAATTGTTCAACTTGTTCTATAAAATTATGATTGTATATTCTAGTATATATTTGATTTTCTTTCCAAAAGTGGTACTATAAAAAATATTTTGTTAAAGACTCTGGAGACCACCAAAACATTTGGAATCATGTAGAATATAGTAAAAATATAATGGCATTTGAATAATGCAAGCTGGAGAGAGGGACATTATCACATTTAGTGAGAATGATGGGACAAAATCACTTTTAATCACGTTGCAGGGATAGATAATAATATACCTACTTTCAGCAAGCTCAGTTATTCACCCCATCTTTATCTACACCAATATGACCTCCTATCACAGATTATACAAAGACCCACTAACCAAAGACGTGGTCCCAGTGCTGGCATCAGTTACTGAAACGAGATCAAGGTTTATGAGGGGCATGGATGTCATCTCGGATGTTGATGACCCATGAAGGGCAACCCAATGCCAAGATTGACAATGTAATAGATTTTGGCAATGGAAAGATGGTCTTGGAACACTTCTGATTTGGCAGATCACATGTAACTAGTACTGCATGTCCTCCATAACACATCCCTACTAGGACACTCAGGGCAGCTATATGAACCATCTAGAGATTAGTTTGGCGAATTGGGCTTGTAATCAGGTCTCTTTAGAAGCAACCAAGATCATTGCCAAGCATGACAAATCTTTGTATCCAGCATCTGTTACAGGTTTATGTGTAACACCTGAAGGTATCCTTCAGGCTCGGATGAGCTACAATCCTTTAACCGTCATTTTATTACCTTGTATGTTTTTCATTTCTGATCACCTTGTGTGTCCCATGTTTCACCAGTTTCCCCTTTTTAGTATGTTCGGGATTTGACACACCTCCTTGTCCTCTTGGGCCAGTTGGCTGTAAGAATTTTCGGAGACCTGGGTCATCAATTCCATTGGATTTCATCTCTGCATATAACTCTCTAGCCTTGGAATATAACCTGCACTCAAGAAGTCCTCCCACCAAAAGAGAATAATGTGCAGACTCGGGAACTACCTCATACTGCTTCATCTCCAGCCATATCGTCAATGCAGTTTCAGGCTGCTTCAACTTCATAAACCTATCAAGAATTAACAGAAAGGTCTCCCCGTTTGGACCAACTCCAGCTTTTCTCATAGTGTTAAGAACTTCAACAGTTCCTTCTAGACTAGCACTTGCAAGAAATGCATGGTACGTTTCAATAGTTGGACTAATATTGTCTTCCTCCATCAGAGCTAATATACTTCTCGCCTCATCCAACTTAGATGATTCACATAGAGGACATATCATCAAGTTGTATGTACTAGAATCAGGACGCAGGCCCATATGTTTCACTTTGTCAATAATCTTAAGAGCTTCCTTCACACAATTCTCACAAGTCAGTACATATACCAAAGAATTATACACCTCCAGACCTGGAACCCAACCCCGTTTCTGCATTTCATCATAAAGTCTTAGTGAATCAAACAAATTTCTAACCTTGGAGAAGCAGGAAATCATGTGGGAATATGAAGTACCATTTGGTTCAATACAACACTTGGACATTTCTCGCCATACTCTTTTGGCTTCAAATATATCAACCACTATATTACACCATCCATTGAGAATAATATTAAAGCCATCAATTTCCAAGGGGAATAGCTTCTTATTGATAAGCATGAATTCTTCAGCCTCTTCAATAAAACCATGCTTACAGAGAATATTCAAGAGCGTCAATAATGTTCTCTGATCAGGAGACATACTAAATTTCTCCAAAATCTGGAATGTCTGTATAGCTTTACCAGCATTATTGGCAGCAGCATATCTGTTGGAATATCACAAATTACAATGTCAAACAACATCTCAAGCAATTTATCATCTTAGTCAAACTATACCAGAGCATTCACTATGCAAACTGAAACTATGAAACAACTTATAGAGTAATATTTTTCGGTGAGACTACTGATATCTACCAAATGATGATTATTCAATGGCATGGCTAATAATGGCTTCTCAGCAATTATGTACATCAACACTCAAAAAATTATAGAAAATCATGTTACAAAGGTTACTCTGCAATAAAATTAATTAGTTCAAATTTCAATCAGTAGTATGCGTTAGTTTTTTTTTTTACCTATCAATCATGATGAGGACAGCTTCTTGAATATCTGTTGACATCTGAAGAAGATCTCGGATCAAAGACCAAGCAGTACTGAATTTACTATGGTTGCCCAGAATCCATATCATCAAACACCATGTATTTTCGCCAATGCATTTGCATTTCTCACCCCATTTGAATAGCAAATAAGCTAACTTCCACTGATCTCTCAACTCCCAAATCACCAAAAATACCAATTCTTGGTTCGGTTCAACCCCACATTCATCAAGAAACGAAATGGCTTCATCTCCAGAACCAAAATCACTGGCCTTTTGTACAATCCCAACAAATTCGTTAACACCAACATGATACTTTTCACGCAATGTATCCACACACTTATCGAAGTTGATGATTTCGTAGCTAGTGGAATTGCCGGAGCTAAAGAAACGGAGCTTGGGTGGTATAGTAGAACAGTGCCTGACAGATGGTTGACGAAATGCCCCAAAGAAATGACACCTTATTTCCGGCTGGGCGGAAAACAATGAAGGATGCTGATAGCCGATTATATGCTTAAAAGCGATGGGACGAGCACTGTAGAGCCTTCGTGCAAGAGAGAGCAACCGCATTATTTTTATCAGTTTACAGGGGAGAAAGAAATCTCCATGTTCCTTCTGCGAAGTAGTGGCGCAAACAAGCCTCCGTCAGCTCAAGTCTACATAAACCACTGAACTTTACAAATTGGATGCCATTGTTGTCAGCCCAAAACCAATTTGATTAGGCCCATGGATTACTGTTTGACTTTTTGAATGACCTTTTCAGGTTTTGCAAGGGGAAAAAGGAAAAATGTTGAGAAGAAAAATAGGAGAAAAAAAAAATGTAGATAAAAGCCTTGGCATGTGATTTAAAAGGTAAAACACTTTAATGCAGTTTAGTATTTGTTGTTGTTTTTAGACTATAATAATAATGTAGAGATCAACTTGTATTCACTTCAATTATTTTATCGACTATATTCTATTAGCTTAGGTATATTATATAACTTTACATATTCATATCATTTAATTAACCACTAGGTCATATCCTAAAAAAAAATTATTCTCACTCAACTGAGTAATTAAGATTTTCGGAAAAAAAATCATATACCCAATTAGTGTTGCACAAAACTTGTCAATATACTGAGTAATTTCCCTAATAATCACTCATGTTTGGGAAATTATCTAATAATATCATTTTTGTTTGTTTTACGACTATAGAATCACCCAACTTTTCATATTTTCCTCAAAGTATACTTGACACAAAAAAATATCTTTCTCTCTCCTAATGAATGCCATGACATATTATTCCCTTTTTACTAATAATTAAAAAAAACTTTTTAAATTAACCAGATGATAGACTCGGTAAAAATAATAATTACATAACGCAAAGTGAACATTTTAAAATAAACTCATATTTATTTTTGGTTATTATGAAGTTCTTATAGAATGTGCAAGGTGAACATTAAAAACAAGTAAAAGTGAATTAAAAAAAAGTGATGTTAGAAGATAATTTTCACGTACTCATAAAAAATCAAAAGTATTATATCAACTAACTATTTTTATGTATTTTTTTCTAGCAACTATTCCCTCTGTCCATTTTTGTTTATTCATACATTATAAATAATTATTCATTTGTTACTTATTTATTTTAGAAAATCAAGTGATAATTTATTACCTAATTCCCAATTCATTGTTATTATTAATTATAGTCATTTTCCAATGCATTTTTTAAATATAAAATTTATTATTTTCAAAGATTCATATAGTAAAATTATCTTTATTATTCCTTAAGAGATATGTCAAATTAATAATAAACAAATAAAGATGTAAAGATGGACGGAAGGACTAGAAACTAAATTTTCCAATATAAAAAAAAATTAAAAAAGATTATTAAAAAAAGAATAATATTATATGACATTCATTAAAAGTGTGCACTTTGCATATTCTTTAAGAAATTAACGAATGAATGAATTGAGAAATGATTTTAGAAAAATAATTAATGTTAAATGTAATAATAGAATAAAAAATATTGACAAGAGGGAGTTGCTCGGATGGAAAGCAACCCCTCACTTCCAACCCGAAGGTTGCGAAGTCAAGTCACCAAGGGAACAAAAGGGATGGGAACTCCTAGGGAGGGTAAAAAAAAATGTCTATCTCTTAATGTGCTAAAGTAAAAAACTAAAAATAATAAATAATCAAGAATTATTTTTCTATTTCTTTTACTGAATATAACATATGAGTTATATTAAAAAATTAATTTTTAAAATTAAAAAATGAATAATGTGACATGGCATCTCATAGGAGAGAGAATAATATTTTTTCTTGTCAAGTATATTTTAAGGAAAATATATAAAATTTGGTGATATTAACAAATGTAAGTGATATTATTAGATAATTTCTTAAACATAAATAAATGACTATATAGGAAAATTACACCAATATACTACTCCACTGGACAATAATAATAAAGGGAACGAAAAATAAAATGAAGCGTTGTTTGCACCACGAGCAAGTCAACACGTGCCGTGAGTAAAGGGGGTGCACGACAAGCCCACCGAGCTGCTCAGACTCAAAATGAATAGCCTCTTTCTTTATTTTTGTTGGAAAATACTGGTAATACAAAATCGATAGGGTTTAAGGGTTTTAGGTAGAAAGGGAAACAAATGGAGAAGAATATGGCAAGTGAAGCGAAGAAGATGAATGGAGCAGGAGGAGGGTTTAGGGCCAAATTGGAGCATGTATTATATAGCGGTGAGAAGAAGCACGTCTTTGGTGGCATCGCCGTTATTGGAGTCCTCTTCGGTGTTCCCTGGTACTTCATGACCCGAGGTTCGTCATTCTAATTACCCTTTTATTGCAATTAACTGTTATTGAATTCAATTACTCTCTCGATCTCAAACTGATTGGACTAAATGTATGAATCCTTCATATCTAATGGTCCCGCTATTCAATTACAAGTTGTGTAATTTTTCTCCTTCCCAGATTGCTTCCATTTGTGTCTGAGTCCCTTTTATTTGTTACCCTGCTACTGATGTAAGAGATTGAACTTACCATGGTTGCTTCAGATCCATATTCTTTTATAACCTTGCTGTTCGGGCCAGCTTGCGCGTGCGTAGACTAATTCCACAATTACCTGCTACCTCCTACCAACTAATAGCACAAGTATTTCTGTGTGTCAAGGCTTGAATAGATGGAAATAAATCGGCTAGTAGGGTTTTGAACCTGAGGCATAATTGGTTCTCTGCCTACTTCATTGACCACCAGACCACACCCTTAGTTCCCCAGAATCCATATAATCAAAGATCACGTATTTTCATGGAGGAATTGGCATTTTTCACCTCATTCGAATAGAAAATAAGCCTACTTACACTGGTCTCCCACCCCTCAAATCAGTCACCAAAAAGATCAAGTTTTTGGTCAAGAAATAATATGGATTCATATCAAACTAGTTGGGTTGATGTATATGAATCCTTAATATCCAATTGTTCCGTTCGGGCTACTTCTCTGTAGGAATTAAATTTTGTGCCATCAAAATTACTTCCCTTAAATCTGATTCCCTTTTATTCATAACCCTGCTACTGATCTAAGACTACTAAAACATGAAAAGCAAAGAAGAGAATTTCTCCCATAGCAAGCATCAAAAAAAGTTCAAATATTTACCCTAGTGTAGTTTAAAGATAGAGAGATTATCAGTAGTTAGGTAATCTTTGATTTAGTGACACTGTGAACCATTTTCTCCTCTGCTGTAGATTTTGCCTCATTGTGTATTACTTATTGTTTCTTATAATACTGGTCTCTTTGCTTTACAAACGAAATAAAATTGGTGATAATTACCACATATCTTGCTTGTTTGTTGCAATAAGGCAAACAATGATGGTATTGTTTGATGTTTCCACGAGCCAAAGCTGCATTAGAACAAGCAAAGAAGTGTTGGTTTTGAGCTATCAGCTGTTGCGTATTTTGCTGCTTCACTTCAAACAGATGTTACTTCAAGTGTGCTCCATAAGAAGATAAATCATAAGATTTTTCTCTCTTTTTAGTGGTGGGTTAGGGAGGAGTCTTTGGGGTTGTTCTTTGATTTCCTTATGGATAGAATCTGTCAATATGTCTATGTCAAGAGAAAGAAGTATGTGTAAATGCAAATTGTTAGAGTGGATTAGAGTTTCATATTAGTGGGGGAATGGATGGGTGGTCTGTTTATATGGATTTGAGCAATCCTCCATTCATGAACTAGCTTTGGGGGTTGAGTTAGGCTCAAGTACTATATCTTTACACTAATATAAAGGCAACACATAACTTTTTTTTATAATTGAGAAATCCCTAGAGCTAGTGGCGCACGGTTTGAAAATCGGCAGTTAATGCACCCACCCTCTATCTTCTCCAATTGATAAGGTTGGACTGTTATTCACTCTAAATAAGGCTGAAATGTAAGGGACCCACTCCATTTTACATAATCGAGTGAAACTGGCATAGTTGATATGTATATAGTAAGAGAATTCATGAGAAACGGATGTCATACGCCCATGCACATAAAATTTCACTCCTTTGTGGTTCTAAAAAACTTCATCTCTATGTCTCAAGTTCGAAACCCCTTGCCAGCGAAAGCAAGGGGTTTGCCTTCTGGGTCGAGCTCGTCGCACCAGGCTTGCCTAGTGCGGTTTACCTCTCCTATGTGGTTTGCGAGCTATTGCATAGGAGTGGAGATTTTACCCTGTGCGCACCCAAAGGGTAGTGGCTGCGGGTTTCCCTTGTCATCAAAAAAAAAAAAAACTTCATCTCATGAAAAAGATTGTTGGTATAGCTGCATGAACCTCATTCCAGCTAATAATTTTGTAGACTTTCGTAGTTGTAATGTTGTGCCTCACTTAGTGATTTTAAGATTCTGTAGGCGATAAGAGTGTGCTGATATCCGATTTTGTCCGCCGATGGCTTTTATTGTTATGGGATTTGTTTAGGTCAAATCTATTGAAACTTGAAAGCACCTAGCTTATAATTGTACATAAATTGATAACTAAATGACAAAAATTAAAAAAAATTGATAACTAAAAAGATATAAAGATATTGGATGTGTCATGTACAAGCTATATATGAATCCTAACAGTTGCTATAAGCGTAAAGCTGTCCAAAATGGTTATCCAATCACGTATGCCTATGACTATGTAAGGTCATTATTTTCTTCATCTATTTGTATGGAGTACATCTTAATTCGATTCCAAATGGTCAATTTAGCTTCTGGAACCAACTTTTATGCAATATTGTACATCTTATGGAGGTGTCCTTATCACTACTTGGAGTGGTATTGTGATTGTTTTTGCTGGATTCGAGTATTCAAATATAAAGAAATATTGAATTGGTGAACAATGCCTAACGTGTTGACTGTAAATACTAATAAGAGTTCTTTTGTTACTCAGTTGCTGTATGACCCTTTTCGAAGCTTTATTACCCTTTCCTCTTTCATCCTTTTGCTTTTCTTTGTAATACTTCTGTTGAGAAAGGAAGATCAACCACCTTACGAGCTATACACGATGTATTGTGTCCATTTGTTGTACTCCTCTTAACTTTTCTATCCGCATTATTGTCATAAAATACATTTGTGTTCCATCAACTCCACTTCATATGTGGAGA